CCGTGGGTATTTCCTAGCCCTGCATCTCATTCCCTCAGAGTTCTTGGGAGTCAACCAGCTGAGGTGCTGAGGAGACAGAGGATGAGGGCCCCTCCCAGGTGACCCTTGTCCTTTTTTTCACAGAGGCCTCTGGAGATGCTATTTCCAGCCCTGCTAAAGTCAGACACAGGACAGTTCAGGTGAAGCCTGTTCCAGGAGTTATTTGAAGTTTCTGGGAGCTTGATCTGAAACCCCTGTGCATATGGCTGGTAGTCCCTCCTCTCCTCCCCCCAGACAGGGGCGCTCACCCAGAGCAGGATCCGCACACTCCTTGTACTGCTCTGGAGTGCAGTATGGGGCGTCCCCTACAGAGGAGAAAAGACAGTGGTGCAGGATGGAGATTAAAGGGCTCTTGGGACAGTGGTTTTTACAAAGGTCTAGAAGCTGAAAGCTGGAAGAGAAGGAGAAGGTAGGACTAGCTAGCCCCCAGTCTGTCCTGGAGGCGACCCACCCCACAGCCCATTCCTCCTGGACCCTTCCCACCCATCCCTCTGGGTACAGGTAGGAAATGAGATCAGAGACAGGGGTGTGGGGTGGGGCAGGAACTGGGTGGGGAGAAGCCAGATGGTCCTGCTTCCACGTGGGCAGGAGGTTGATAAGCATGGGGAGCTGGTGAGGGGCAGTGCGGGCTGAGGGGCCCCAGGACTGTGTTTGGAGCTTTGGGGCCTGACCTGGCATGTGCACCATGCGGCAGTTGCAGTTCTCCACCAGGTAGCGGGTCTCACAGTCGATGCGGCAGGCGGTAATGCTGTAGGAGTCGAAGAAATCCGAGTCCATGGTAACAGCTTTGCAGGTGCCCCAGGGAGGGGGAAGGTAGATGAGCTGCTGGGAGAGCCAGGGAGCTGGGGGGTGTGGGGACTTCTCCCCAGGCACCTTGATGGACTTCTCTAACAAGATGCAGAACTCAGGAGCCCTGCCCCTTTCCCTCCGCAGCCTCTGAGTGTCTCAGAGTTTAGGGGGCATCCTGGTTTGTTAGCTCATTCATGCTTCTTACTTGTCAGGTTGCTACCCAGGCTCTGGCTCATCTGTTCCTCCCATTAGGAATGGCCCATCACTCCATCTTGACCCCTCAACACCCCACCCCGGGACTGTCCTCCTGTGGCCTTCTCACCCGCTGCTCCTGGCAGGCCACAAAGGTCTGGAACCCTGGGGCCACGCCAAAGCCCAGCTGGTCGATGAAGGGAGGTTCGTCTTGACTGTGGATCTGCACTTTGATACCAGCTTCGAAGGACGTCTCGTCTATGAGAATGAGCGGGGCGGAGTGGGGGGGTGTGGGGGAGGGTGTTGTTGGGAGGGTTTCTGACTCCCTAACCTCCCCCAGAGCTGGGGACATCCTGCCTCTCTTGGAAATAAGCACAGCATACACTGGGACTGGGGGGATTTGTTTATGGGACCCCAGCCCATCCCTAGCTTCCTTCTGGGTTCACCAGCCCCATGCTGCCCAGATGACCCCCGCAGCCTACACACTTCTTACCTGGCTTCGGCTATGCATCTTGGTGTTTCAAATTCTTTCTCTCAGATGATCTCCATCTCTCCCCCTCCTTTTCTCCCTCCCCCCATCTCTCCCTGCCCCAAGGCCCCTGAGACCAGACAGACAGAAGGCAGCCCAAGAGAGGGAGTTATTTATAGAGTGAGTGGCAGCCACAGATAGAAAGGGATGGCTGGTTACCTTGGAGAGTAACTGAGCCAGGAAGGGGGAGCTGGAGAAATGTGAGTGTGGCAGTCAGGTAGAGTCAGAGAAGGAGATGGTGAGATGCTGGGAGGAAGGGAGGAGAGCCCAAGGCCTGCCTCAGGTCCCACAGTGGAGCCCAGGGGTCCTCTGGCAGAGGTTGAGGCCTGGAACCATGGGGAGGGGCCCCTGAGAGGTGACATACCAGTCTCCCCCCATACAGGCAGGTACTCATCCTGCTGGATGTCTAGCATGATCTCCAGCCCATTGCCCGTCCCACCCTTCATGGTCTTCAGCAGTGGACGCCCATCTCGGCCAGAGTTGAACGTGTAGCACTTTCCATACCGTGTGAAGACCTGGCAGGGGCAGAGTGAAGAGCCTGAGAGTCCTGTCAGCATCCCTTACCCACCAAGGGCTGTCCCAGACTGCCCCCCAACTGCTGAAATCGCAACCCCTTAGGATTGATTCCTCCTGTGCAGCCCATTTGTCTTCTTGCCCACCCATCCTCTGTCCTTCTTTGCCCTGCTGTGTGCACTGGAAAGCTGATCCCTGTGGGGTGCTCCTTTGCTACCTGGGTTTGGCTAATGGGAGGTATCAGTAAGGGATTAGGGGAGAGATAGGACACTTCTCTGAGAGTGTTCTGGCAGTGGCTTAGACCTTCGGTGACAGCAAATCCTTCCAGGAGGGCTCCCCTGCTCCTTTAGCCTGTGTGTACCAATTTCCCACTACTGTCAGGTGCCTCAGGCCCCCTTATTGGTTTCCTCAGACCTGCCCACAGCTCTGTAAACAGCCCCTTTGTTAAATTCTTTTCAATTAAACTGAGTGGCAATCTTTTTCTTTCTGAGACCCTGACAAATACACCTCCGTCATCAGGATCCCATAACTGCCATACCCCAGGCATCTGAATTCTTCTCTCCCCAAGACCCTCCTCCAAACCAAGTTAAGCTTTTTAGTTTCCCCCAGCCATTAGCCCCTATGTCCATCACTGTCCCATTATCACCAGAACTTGAAAGTAGACCCAGTTGCCATGCCAATGGCCACGCTCACCCAAGCACCAGCAGCTCTTTTGTCAGCACTGGGTACTGAGCACCCAGGGCATGGCACGTCTGGCAATGCTCATGCACAACTGTCAGGGCCTCCGAACAGATCTCTGCCCCGGGGCATTCTCCCCACTCCATGCCCCAGAGCAGCCCTTATCCCCACAGAGAGAAGAGTAAACCAATTCGTTATGGCCTTTTCTCCACAGCTTCCCTGAATGCCTCCAGGTTCCCACAAACAGAGTGAGTGTGCTTTACTACTACTGGATGGTGACAAAATCCACAGAGCAAGTCACAGGTGAGTACAGACACAGCCCAGAGAATGAGAGAGACAGTGTCCAACCAGACCGAAGCAGCAGGGGGAGAGTGGGTTGGTCACTAGGAAATAGTGTCCTTGCCCCCTTCACCTTCCTAGAACAGCCTCCTCCTCGCTCCAGAAAAGAAAGCATGCTGTCCCCCATTTGGAGGGGCCAGGTCCTGAGACGAGGTAGAGAGAGAACTCTGCTCCTAATCCCCCACAGCCCACTCTTAGGTTTTGTGGCATTCAGCTGTAGGTTCCAGGCTGGACACACACCCAAGCTACCCTCCACCTGGGGATGTGGGCTGCAGGTGGCTGAGGCTCTGGGAGCGCCAGCGGTGCCCTGGCTCAGCTATGCTGCTGGCTGGCAGACTGCTGCTGCCATCTTGTGGTGGTGGGTGAGAAGTGTCTGCTCTACACAGGTCAGAGGAAGGAAGCCAGGCTGATCCCTTCCTTGTCGGGTGTTCCTATACCTCCTGGCCTGAGGCCCAGTGGACCAGACCTCCAGGTCCCCGTCTGTCTGCAGCCCATCTGTGATGCACTGCTATGACGATGCCCACCTGCTCCCGCACTAGGAAGGAGGCTGGGGCCTGAGGGATAGGTGTGTGGGGAGGGAAGGCTTGGCCTCTGGCACCTGGTCAGACAGAGCTGGACGCTGAACTGGGGAAGGGGTGGGGTGCCACGCGATCCCTCAGCAGGAAAGGCTTTAGGCTCCGGAGTGGCAAGGCAACCAGGAGGCTGACTCCCAGTGAGGGCTTCCCTGGGAAGAGAGTCCCTGGCCACTTAGAGCTGGAGGGGAGGAGGAAGGACTTAGAGGATGCCTGTTATTCTCCCTCAGAATAACACACAGGCACAGGCACAGGCACAGGCACAGGCACAGGCACAGGCACATGCAGGCACAGCACGCACACACACACATGCACACACAGTAGGAGGAGCATAGGAAGACCAGGGGAAGATGCATTGAAGTCCTTGCTCTGGGAGCAGGACGAGGGTGTGGTGAGATGGAGATGAGGGCTGTGCCCACCCCTCCGCCTCCCTTCCACACTCTTCCACCTCCAGAAACCAGTGGCACCTGCCCCAGCTCCCATCCAGGGACGACAGTCAACACTGTTACTGCCAGGAACAGGCACCCACCATCAGGTCAGAGGCTGACCTCAGAGATGAAGTAAGGTAGGGTCCTGCCGGATCACAGGGAAATCTGGACACGCTAGAGGATACTCGAGACACCAGGGCCCCTGGGCAGCAGCTAATTACCAACTAGCACAGATACCTTTCAAGATTTTAACAGGAAGAGTGGTGCTGGGTATAGCAGCCCAGCTTCAGACCCTGGCCTCTCTGGGACATGTCACAGAGGGTGGGTGGTCCAGGTAAGGTGGGGAAGGAGCAGGACCCGCCAGCCCCAGCCCCTGCCCCAGCAAGTGATGGTTAGGGTGAGCCATGACAAACACTCTCGGGGTGCCATGGCAGGCATGGGCCCCCACTCACCACCGAGAAGTTGTGGGGGCCGCAGGGCCCCCCACAGTAGGAGCAATAGAGCAGCATGTCCTCCAGCCGGTGGCAGGAGCGGTTGTAGAAGCGGTGCAGGTTAAAGGGCTCCCCAGAGAAAGCCTCGGGCCCTGGGGGGGCGAGGGGCACCCCAGGGTCATCACTTTCATCCATGCCCAGCATGGGGGCCAGGTAGAGCAAGTCAGGGTAGCTGAGCTGGGACAGCCGCACGGCATTGGTGTTGCAGAGGGTGACCGCTGGGAAGGCCAGCTCCGTGGTGGCCACCTCGTTTAGCAGAGTCACGTGCGGGTAGCTGAGGTAATAGGCGACTCGGTCTCCTACCTGGCACAGGAAGGCACCCAGTGCCAGGACAAAGGCCACTGCCCACAGGGCCTGCCTCGGCCCTGGACCCCCTTCCACGAAGATGTGGCTGGCGCCATGGAGGGTGCAGCTGTTGGCGAAGGCCACCAAATCCTCCGAAAAGTCCCCCTCTCTGACCTCCCTCCTGGCTGGCTCTTCCTTCTCTTCCTCCTCTTCTTCTGATTCTGAGCTCTCTCTCGGCTGCTGCTGCTGCTGCTGCTCCTGCTGGTGGGGACTCTGGACATCTCCCAAGGGCCCTGGGGCCTCCTTTCCAGAGGAGAATGACACGGAGCAGAAGATCTGAATTGGCATCTTCACCAGGGGCTTCCTGGCACCCAGGGGGTGGCAGGAGCAGGAGAAAGGAGATGTGATCCCAGGGGACCTGGCAGGGCCAGCCACCCAGCCCTTCTGCCAGGTCTCTGCCGCTGGCTGCCGTGTCCTGCTTCGCCAGGGCCTCCGTGGCGGTGTGGCTGAGACGGGGCGGGGCGTGGAGGGGAGGACCAGCCTGCCCTGCCAGGGAGGGCGGTGTCCGGGCTGATGAATAATTGATGGCAGTGGGAAAGGGAGGCTGATGGAGAGGACAGGGGTCGGAGACCCTTCTCTGTCATCAGCTCCAGCAGGAAGGAGAGGGTTGAAAACAGAATGGAACGCTGGGAAGTCCTAGGGGCTCCTGGTGCTCACCTCTCCAGGTGAAATGGGACCTACCAGAGTCCTTTACTCCCTCTGCCAAGCCAGCAACAGCCTCTGCTCCTCCCCATCACACACACCCTCAAGCTCCCTCTCCTCCAATCTGTTCCTCAGCACCCCCCTCGCCTTCCCATCCCAGTCCAGGGTCCTCTCCCCACTTCTCACCTGGCCCAGCCCCGCCTCTGAGACCTGGGCCCCGTGCTCTCATGGCTCTGCCTCAGACCTCTAGCTCCTCGACAGCNAGCTCCCTCTCCTCCAATCTGTTCCTCAGCACCCCCCTCGCCTTCCCATCCCAGTCCAGGGTCCTCTCCCCACTTCTCACCTGGCCCAGCCCCGCCTCTGAGACCTGGGCCCCGTGCTCTCATGGCTCTGCCTCAGACCTCTAGCTCCTCGCCAGCGCCCCCTGACTCATCACCCCCAAATTGTTTCACTGACTCCCAGCTCTCCCAATACCCCATTACACCCCAGCTCTCTTCTAACTATGCCTTTTGATTCTCAGTTTTCTTTCAGTCACTGTCCTGACCCTCGTCTACTTTCAGTTATTTCCTGGACCCCTGATTCTCCTGTACTGGGGCTTCCTTGCCTTCCAGTTTGCCTCCAGCTGGTCCCTGATCTCACTCCTCCTCCTCTAGGTCCCCTCACCCACCTCCACTTGGGGACAGCACCCTCCCCCATGCTGAGCTGTGCTTAGGCCACTTTCCCCTCCTCCATTCCCTCTGTGGCTTGGGGGGCAGCCCAGGTTCCATTAGCACAGGTCTCTCACTGACCACAGACTCATTTATGGCCAGTTCCTGGCACTGGGGGGAGGGACCCTGTCTCTTGCAGCTGAAAAGCTTCCTGAACGATCACCACTCCCCTTCCTGGCTTGCCCACTGCCCAACAGTGCAAGAGAGGAGTTCGAGGAATTCTCTCCTAGTGGGTGGAAGAAACTGAGATCAGAGCAGAGACCCAGTCCTGGGTCAGGTGGAGAGTGTTGGGAACCTACCTGAGTACCCCCAAAACCCTCAGCCTCACAAATGCCCCCAGCCCCTCAGTCTCTGAGGCTCCCCTTGTCCCCAATTTCTCATTCCCTTCCCCCAGGCCCCTGGCCCCTCTGTGGGCTCTGATTACTCAGGGCCACTGGTTGAGGAACTTGAGCCACCAGCCAAGTCTCCAGGGCCTAGAAGGTGACCTAAGGAGGGGAGGGAGGGAGGTGAAGCATATTAACCCTTCCTCTGCAGGGCCAGAGGAAGAGCAGTGGAGGTCAGGCAGGTCTACTTGGGCCTTACCACATCTTAACCCTCCACAGCCCACGTCCTATTCCCCTCCCCCTCCT